ACGAGGCGACACTTTTGTTTCTCTTCATTTCATGAAGACGTCGAGTAAAGATGATGTCATGTTACGGAGACGTCTGCAAATCTGACGTCACGTCATTGCCCGTAATAAACGAACCGTCTGTGGTTGAATTACATTCATTATCATACTGTATGCAACATGTTTACAATATCCGGGTCAAGTGGCTAGTTTACACTTTAAATCTTAGCTTTAATATCACTTGCTCTGTTCTGCCTCAAACCCAAAGTTTGGTGAAATGTTTTGCACATTATAAGTAATGAAAATAAAATATATTGTGATTAATTATTAAACATACACGTCTTTAGAGGGACAAAGAGAATACTATTGGTTATTTTACCACCATGATCTTCCACATCGTTTTGGTTTTACAGATAATTTCCTCTTAACTGGTCATTTTAGGTCATTTTTTAATGCCTGCCGAAAATCAACTTTCAAGCCGCGGAATCAAGATTTGTTCTCTGCAGACTCAGTATTGTTCTCCGTGGAATCAACAATTTTTCTATGCAGATTCCTGGGACAACTAACTTTATATGCTCTTCCATTAATATCCCTTATAAGTCTTTCAGAAAAATAAGGACCCTTTACACTAAATCCAGACTGTGTATTCAGATTGTTTACATTTGATGAGAAGCTTTGCATCTTCATCCATTCTCTGGCGTGTCTGCAATAGTTTTTTTTTTTTTTTTTTTTTTTTTAATGCCTAGAGCCAGAGCAAATTAGCTCACCGAACTTAAGTTAAAAAGGAGCAGTGAGAATAATAATAATTGCAACTGTGTGTCTTGGAGGAACTCGCCTGTCTGAACGGGAGTGTCGAGTCGTTGCGGAACGTGAACGTCATTCCCGCTAGCGATACCACCTGCAGGAATGTGACTGAGCACTGCAGCGCCTGTATCAGGGTAAAGCGTGAACCCTGTGTGAACCCTCAACTTTGAACCCTCACTAACTGATCGTGATGACAGTTCAATTTCCCCTAACAAGCGCACTTTGTGTCAAAGCCCTCAAGAGTGTTGTAATCCTCCCTTTCTGACCTTGTTTTTGTTTCTTCACCTTATAAATGTATGCGCTGTTCCACCATATCTCATTGTGTTGCCTGTTTTTAGGGAGTGTCCTCTACTCAGTGCAAATTTCTAACCCATGTTCTCTTTTGAGACAATCACACATATCACTTTTTTAATAAAAGAAGCAACCTTGCTCTTACATTACTCCATGTAACCCAGGATTTGTGAGATTTGTTGGAGGTTTATTTTGACCAGTAGAATTATATTAACATGGATATTGTTACCGTGCTAACAGTTATAACATCTTGTGCCTCCTAGACATGCACTAAAGGCCTCACGATTCGCAAAAGAGGAGCCATGAAAAGCTGTGATGACATTTTAACGTGTTCTCTCCAGTGGTGACAACTTTGTACTTTTATTTGCTATATTTGACAGCTTTTTCAGGCTCAAGCAGTTTTTCACCCCAATATTTATCTAGCTACTTTTAAACTTTATTTGGTAACTCAGACGTGAAAACTAATTTTCATCACAATAAATCATTTCTTTGGGGCCTGTCCTCCTCGCTTCAAAAGTGCAATGAGTCATGTTTCAAGTTTTTTTTGTCTTTGTTTTTTGACAAAACCTTTAAAAACATTTGATTTAGAGTACAGTTGTAACCCTTTAACCTCCTGGGACCTGGCGTCCACATGTGTGGACATGACGTTTTGGGTTGTCAAGACCACAATATTAAATTTTGGACTACAGGGGCCTGGCGTCCACTTACGAGGACATTACATCATGTAAAAAGATAATTCTTTGTTTTTACACTCATCAGGTCCCAATTAGCCTAAATATCAAAGAGAAAATAAAAATAAAATAAAAATGCATGCCTTGCAAGAGTTCAGGTCTTAGGAGGTGAACAATGATAATAGTAGGGGTGTTTCAATTAGAGTTTTTCGAGTTCCGATTCCAATTACCCATGAGTGAAATCAGCCGATACCGATTGAGATACTGATCACATGAATTAGGTGCACACTTTTTCAATTTCAGAGCTGCTCAATAATGATTAAATAATAATCGATTAATCTGTCATTTTTTTCAATTAATTGATTAATCAGATTTAAAAAAAGAACATTCTATCCAAATCTCCATCATTTTATTGTATAAAAACGGGACATTATTTCTCATTGACAGTGCAGAAAATTTACAAACATTGATTATGATTCAGTTATTGGTTTCGTCTGTCACCTGTGCAGAGTTAACGCAAGCCTGGTCTCCAGTTAGCTGCTGGCGGCCATGTAGGAATTGCGGGTGCTGTGTTTTTTCGATCAGCAATTAAAGGCACTGATCGACCTACCTATCACATCCTTTCGCACGGATATCGGCCGATCATGATTAATGGCTGATCATGACATCACCACTTGATAATATTGCACACAATACTAATATTACTAATGCATTCACTTACTCTGCATGAAAATGAAACTCAAGTCAAGCGAAAAGTCTCCAATATCAGTTGTGAACACATGCATTTCTCTGGTCGCTCGTTTGCAATATCTACCGCATGTATAAATAGTTGAGCAACACAGTTAAAATCTGATAAATATATATAAAATATAAATTCAACAAACCTTTTATGTCTTGTGTTTATCTCACTATTACAAATAACAGCAAGTGATAATAAATAAATAAACAAACAAACAAATAAATGTACATTTATTTATTTATTTATTCTGTGTGATCTCACTGCTCGACTCCACAGGACGAGGAGATGTTGCGGGAGAGCCGCGGATTCTATTTCCGGGGTTACGGCTTGGGCCACTGCCTGCAGTCCATACCACCATGATCTTCCACATCGTTTTGGTTTTACAGATAATTTCCTCTTAACTGGTCATTTTAGGTCATTTTTTAATGCCTGCCGAAAATCAACTTTCAAGCCGCGGAATCAAGATTTGTTCTCTGCAGACTCAGTATTGTTCTCCGTGGAATCAACAATTTTTCTATGCAGATTCCTGGGACAACTAACTTTATATGCTCTTCCATTAATATCCCTTATAAGTCTTTCAGAAAAATAAGGACCCTTTACACTAAATCCAGACTGTGTATTCAGATTGTTTACATTTGATGAGAAGCTTTGCATCTTCATCCATTCTCTGGCGTGTCTGCAATAGTTTTTTTTTTTTTTTTTTTTTTTTTTAATGCCTAGAGCCAGAGCAAATTAGCTCACTGAACTTAAGTTAAAAAGGAGCAGTGAGAATAATCATAATTGCAACTGTGTGTCTTGGAGGAACTCGCCTGTCTGAACGGGAGTGTCGAGTCGTTGCGGAACGTGAACGTCATTCCCGCTAGCGATACCACCTGCAGGAATGTGACTGAGCACTGCAGCGCCTGTATCAGGGTAAAGCGTGAACCCTGTGTGAACCCTCAACTTTGAACCCTCACTAACTAACTGATCGTGATGAAAGTTCAATTTCCCCTAACAAGCACTTTGTGTCAAAGCCCTCAAGAGTGTTGTAATCCTCCCTTTCTGACCTTGTTTTTGTTTCTTCACCTTATAAATGTATGCGCTGTTCCACCATATCTCATTGTGTTGCCTGTTTTTAGGGAGTGCCCTCTACTCTGCACATTTCAAACAAGTGTTCTCCTTTGAGACAATCACACATATCACTTTTTAATAAAAGAAGCAATATAGTTTTTACGTTACTCCCTGTAATCCAGGATTTGTGAGATTTGTTGGAGATTATTTTGACCAGTGGAATTATATTAACATGGATATTGTTACGGTGCTAACAGTTAGAACATCTTGTGCCTCCTAGACATGCACTACAGGCCTCACGATTCGCAAAAGAGGAGCCATGAAAAGCTGTGATGTCATTTTAACGTGTTCTCTCCAGCGGTGACAACTTTGTACTTTTATTTGACAGCTTTTTCAGGCTCAAGCAGTTTTTCACCCCAATATTTATCTAGCTACTTTTAAACTTTATTTGGTAACTCAGACACGAAACCTAATTTTCATGACAATAAATCATTTCTTTGGGGCCTGTCCACCTCGCTTCAAAAGTGCAATGAGTCACGTTTCAAGTTTTTTTTGTCATTGTTTTTTTACAAAACCTTTAAAAACATTTGATTTAGAATACAGTTGTAACCCTTTAACAATGATAATACTAGTGATGTTTCAATGAGAGTTTTTCAAGTTTTTCGATTCCAATTACCCATGAGTGAAATCGGCCGATACCGATTGAGATACTGATCACATGGATTAGGTGCACACTTTTTCAATTTCAGAGCTGCTCAATAATAATTAAGTAATAATCAATTAATCTGTCAATTTTTTCGATTAATTGATTAATCAGATTTTTAAAAAAAAACAAAAAAAACATTCTATCCAAATCTCCATCATTTTATTGTATAAAAACAGGACATTATTTCTAATTGACAGTGCATAAAATGTACAAACATTGATTATGATTCAGTTATTGGTTTCGTCTGTCACATGTGCAGAGTTAACACAAGACTGGTCTCCAGTTAGCTGGCGGCCAAGTAGGAATTGCAGGGTGCTGTGTTTTTTCGATCAGCAATTAAAGGCACTGATCGACCTGCCGATCACATCCTTTCGCACGGATGTCGGCCGATCGTGATTAATGGCTGATCATGACATCACCACTTGACAATATTGCACACAATACTAATATTACTAATGCATTCACTTACTCTGCATGAAAATGAAACTCAAGTCAAGCGAAAAGTCTCCAATATCAGTTGTGAACACATGCATTTCTCTGGTCGCTCGTTTGCAATATCTACCGCATGTATAAATAGTTGAGCAACACAGTTAAAATCTGATAAATATATATAAAATATAAATTCAACAAACCTTTTATGTCTTGTGTTTATCTCACTATTACAAATAACAGCAAGTGATAATAAATAAATAAACAAACAAACAAATAAATGTACATTTATTTATTTATTTATTCTGTGTGATCTCACTGCTCGACTCCACAGGACGAGGAGATGTTGCGGGAGAGCCGCGGATTCTATTTCCGGGGTTCCGGCTTGGGCCACTGCCTGCAGTCCAAAGACGGCCCCGCCGTGGAGGGACCCACCGTTTTTGGCCCATCGCCTCCCGTGACGGTGCACGACGGCGAGTTTCTCCACAAGCGCTTCGTGGACCGGGCCAAGCGCATCGACACCATCTCCAGAGCTGTCTTCCCGTTGAGCTTCCTCATTTTCAACATCTTCTACTGGGTCACCTACAAAGTGCTGCGACACGAGGACATTCATGCCAATTTGTAAAGAGCTTCCGCCTTTCTACAGACTTTGCCAGGATTTGCCTCCATTGCGGCGAGGAGCAGGAGCGTTCCTCTTGGAATTAGGAATGAACGCTAAACCCAAGAGCATCTCTGGGCGCTCGAGAGTGTTCAAAGCCAAAAGAAAAAAAATTGAACTGACTGGCTTCAGGATGAAGTTTTTGCCTCTGGTTCGATTACGCCGGCGGATCCTTGCCGGTGATGTCACCAAGTGAGGACTGGTGAGACTTGAGTTTCGACACTTTGTGTGTCTGAATGTTTTCCAAAATTCAAACAGCGGTGGCTTTTTCTACACTTTTCGTTCAACAGGCAAGGGTGTCTGAAAAGGGTCTTTCATATTTTCAAGTATTCTGTAAGTGGTGACTTTACCGACTTGTAATGACATTATCTATAGATATATTGACAGTGTACAAATTGTAAAATAATAAAAGAAGCCGTTGCCAAAACCGCACAAAGCACAAATAGATTTTCATTTTGAGTCAAAATAAAATGCTTTTTTTTTTCTGACAGGATGATTGAATTCCTTTTAAATCAAATAAATTAATTAATCCATCACATTTGCACTTATATACAGTGATTTACCACATATCTGTGTTTTGGCATTTGCAAATTCACTTTTTTTTAAGCTATCCTCTTTTATTTGCCCAAAACTTAACTTATTTTCTGTTTTAAGTGTTTTCTGCCATCTGTGTACTAAGGAACTGTGTTGAAGGGAGTTGAGGAGTTGCATTTGGAGTAAAGTGGTGGTTTGCTCCCATCTTGTGGCATCTTGAGTCCAAGTAATGATGTTGAAGTGGATTGAGGATCTTCCTTTAGACAAAAGTTGTGTTTTGCTACCTTCTTGGAATCTCCAGGCAATTATAAGCCCAGTTCCATGCAGATTTTTGGTATTTGTGGCAGCGCTTGTTCCCTATCTCCAATGAATAGCTGGGGTTGACTGCAGTTCAATTTCCCCGTGCGATCAGGTCCAATTTTCACTTAAGTGATCATTAAGAATTTTGTTGATTGTTTGGAATTGATTAAAAATGGAGTGAACAACTTGGTTGTTCATGATTCAGTTGTGAAGAGACATGTAAAAAAATGTTGACATTTCAATGTTCATTATTTCAAAAACCCACCATTCATTTCAATAAAATGCAAAAACAAAAAAAAATCGATCACATCAGGGTCATTTTTACTTTTTCATGTAATTGTAGGTGAAGTATTTGCAAATTATATTGCATAGGATGCGCCTCCTTGACAGAAGGCTGCCATGTTTCGCCCACAATTTGTGCTACGGAAACTCGAAGGAGACAAACTTGTTCCTCAACGTGATGACTAAAGCATGTGTAACAAATGCCACACAGTTACTCTGTCACTTGAGCGACTACTAGAAGTCGTTTGGAATGACATTTTGCTTGCACCTCTGCTGAAGAAATGGTAGTGAGCTTGCAAACGGTGGTCTCTCTGAGGCGTTGTCGTGCGCGTGTGCTTCAAAATGCACGCACTTTGAGCTTAGTTTGTTGCGTTCTATTAGTTTACCACTAGATGGCACTTAATTCGACACTCTACTTTTCACTAATTTTCTGTCTCGAGAAGAACGACATTGACGTTCACGCTCTGTTCTTACTGGTCACCAGAATGTTAACAGGAAGTGAATTTAGTGTATACAACAGCAAGTAAAACAGCGCCGTAAAAAAAAAAAATCCATGCTAAACTGAAGATGTACTTGGTGTTTTTTATAGCGATGAAGTCAACGTTATTGGACAAATCTGATTAGTTCATTTCACACCAGTTTTCATTGAGAACCGTATCGAGAAGGTGGTATCAAAACAGCAAATCACAGCACACAATCGCAGCTAACTGAAGTTCGATTAAAAGGGTCTTACTGTGAACACACCTAGAGTTTCTTTCCAATTACCAGCAGATCCCATGCAAATGCAAGTTAAACAGTGAAAGCTCAAACCTGAAATGTAATGCACGGGATAAATAAATCATTGTTTGACACTCATTGCAAGGCATTGCGCCAATCATCGTTGTCCAAAGGGATTTTGGACATATTTACAGGCAAAATTGCTTCAGGGTTGTCAGATGACTTTTTTAATGGGAAAATCAACGTGCTGTTTCATCAACTGATGACTTTGAAATGGGCTTGATGTTCCCCAGCCAATGAAAATGAATTCAAAAGAGGCACCCCGAGTCCAGAGTCCTTCTGTCCTGAGCTTCCTCATGTTTGTGTGCGTGCTCTTCCTTTTCAAACAAGATGAAATCACGGCCTTTTTACTCGACTTAAACTTTTGTGTGAGGGGATGAAGAGGATGAGCTGATGCTCTCAAATCAACATACCGCATTTCCACAAATAATTACTCAAATGCCTCCTTTAAATAGATGCCTCCTCCTTGCCGACGAGGGGGTGTAGGGGGGAGGCAGGATCTGTAATTACCTGAGTTCAGAGACGCTATTCAACCTCAAAGATTAGTTGCTGTGCGACAGAATCCCCATCTGCAGTTGAGTAAATATTTGCAGAAATACGGAAGTTGCTGAGAGGTACCCTATGAACTTGCTCCCTTGAAGAACTGTCTGATGGGCCATTGGCGCCAGGCTTGCAATCAACACCTTGCGAAGGAGGATACTACTGATCTCCTTATCTTCAATGAAGCCGAAGAGGGTTGAAATGAACTCCAAAGATAATGCCCTATTGGAAGTGGTGACTTTGTAGCGACGCCACTTGAGCAAAGCGCGACTGAGCAGTCAACAGTCCGCTGCTCTCTGCTGTGCGTGCCAGTGTGTTTATAAAGAGACCAAAATCTCTTGAACTTCATCTCCGCCAACATCGAAAATGCCAACAATAAGATCAGCTGACTTCATTATATCGTGCACTACAGTCTCACATCCAAAAGCGCAAACAGAAAGGAATGCCTTTAACACAATCCCTTTTACTACAGCCACATATTGCCTTCAAAGTCACGGGATGGTCCGGCTTCAGTCATGATGACCATACGAGCGCATTGGTGACAATATAAGAAGCTTTTCTAAATCCACCATCCTACCATGACCGCTTTTGCGGGCCCCCTTGATTTGCGACCCATCGCTTTTGCTGGAAATCAGCATATCCTGTCAGATCTTATATATCGCCGGATGACTGATGGATTCCAATAACGCAGGACCTTGGCATTCGCTTGCTAAATTACCCACAACCTCCTGAGACTGTGATGACTTAAATAAGTTCCATGTGATGCATGATCCCCCAAAGAAGGGTGGACCCAAATGAAAATATTAACAATTTATTTTTCCGGGCCCTGGTATTAAAAGCTCTGTATGACACTTCCCTCAAATCCGAAGCGGACAACATACATACACATCAATTGGGCCTAACGTTTCTGGCCCGTGGGGTCATTTGCATTGCAATTTTAAAACTCAATTCAAAAGAGGACTTGTTATAAAAATGTTTCATCTACAAATGCTCATAATAAATAAGAATACAAAAGCACCCTCAAGGGAATAGGGTTCTGCAACCCTTGCTTTAAGTCATCCAATTTGTCAGGCGTGCATCTATGGGTCATTGTGTCCAAACCGTGTACTTGTCCTGTCCCTGGAGGGTAATCAGCATAAGCCTCCTTTCTTCAGACTCCCATCGGAACATCAATGTGGTGCCAGAGCCCAAAGCCGCCTTTAAGTCCTCCCGACCGATAGTGCTTACTCTCCCATGCACATCAGCAGATAAAATCAAGTTTTACGGGGATCGTATCGTTGCGTGACGTTTTTAAGTGCAATGTGACATGTTTTGATCGAGCCGTTGTGTATCCCTGCTCCCCCTGCGGTTTCTTCCCTCATGCATTCATAGGTTCTTGAAGATACAAAGGTGTCTCAGCTATTTTAACAATGGGCAATAACAGATGCTGTGGTGAGCATTTCATTATACAACACATATACCAGAGAATTCCACACATCAATGTATCACAAATGTCATTGATGTAAACAGGCTATGAAATGAATGCATCAAAAGTGTTAAAAAAAAAAAAAGAGGCCTCGTTGTTTCTTTGGTTTTTGGGGAATGTGTCAAGCCAATTTAAATGACAAAATTGGTATTAATCCTTTGGATTAACACAGGGAGTAAATCAATCATATAAACACATTATCTTTACAACATTCATTACAAAGTCCTTCCTTCCCCCTAAAAAAAAAAAAAAAACATCAATGGACAAGAACCAGATGCACTGGAAGCTTTCACGAGGAAATTCCATATTTCAAGCGTCACTGAAAATCTCATCCAAGTGTAAACTGATAGAGAAAGTTATCCATACGTGGATTCTTTTCTGCTAATCCTTTGCTGTGCTACAAACTGTTGGGGAGACTGCATCTAGTTTTGTTTTTTTTTGTTTTGTTTTGAAGGGGGGTGGCTGCGTACCAACCGAAGGAACCAGGAATTGCAAGATTCAAATCCCTTTTGATACTATGAATGAATGTGAACGGGCATGCCTTGAATTACATTTTCACTCTTAGCTTGGTTGTAGAATCAATCAGGTGCAGCAGCAAAAAAAAATGCTCATAGGCCCCCTCTGTACGTAGATATTCAATGAACTTAACTTTAAAGCCACAATTGTGTCTACCAATTGAGAGTGGTTAACAAATTCATTGTTGGCGTGTATAGCAAATTTGCAAAATCACGACACTCATTTAGCATTAGCATGCTAACGCTAACACAAGAGGCAGCCAGGCCGGTTCGTTCAATACTGTCGGGGTGCCTTGACTTTTGATTGCACGATCGGACGAGTTTCTCAAGTTACAAGCCACCGTGTTGATTGATTTATTTTTGCTGTGTGTTGCTAACTAACAACGAAGAAGGCTGCAGCTGAATTCGCGGTTAATGAATTCTTATTACAACACAGTATCAATTCCTTCTTGACATGCTTGACACTGTTCTGCCAGCTCCCAAGCATCATCTCTTGCTGCTCATTCAGTCAACACAGGCTTTTCTCCACCTGTCTGTCTCCCCTGTCCATCACACATGCCAGTCGCAGTGAGCCGAATGCCCACGAGAGCCTTCTTCTCGGCTCGACGCTCCAACTCGGCGCCGCGGCTCGGCTGGTGGAGACGAGCCAGCAGGGTATTAATGGGTTCCCCCAGGAGACAACGCCGACACGTATGCATGCATGCATGCGTACGTGCGTGCTGTGTGCCGGATGTTGAACAATAACTTATTCTTCTCCAAAACTGCGAGAACACCCTCCTGTAGAGCTTACCTAGCCTGTGTTTTTGCACCTCCGACTTCACGCCGTCTCCCGGCTGAGTTCACTCAAGTTAAAAACAGCAAAATCCGCAGAAAAGTCAAAAGATTTCTTGATCGATTTTCGGGTTGTCCGAGGAGGGATGGATCAGTCACAGCAGGACTTTTGAAGATACTTGGTCGATCTTCTACCTCTCACCGCAGGAGCGTCTTTGTTTCTGACAACAGAATTCTGGCTTGTACTTACGTTTCAGAATATTTAAAAAAAAAGTTTTCATATCATGGTTGGAAAAACAACTACAGTTGAGACAAAAACTCTACACTTTCCTGTTCAAATGATATTTTTGGTGATGTAAAAACAAGACAAACAATCATAATTTAAAAACTTTTACCACCAAAACCTGTAGAACTCTGAAGAAAATGAAATTTTCCCAACAATGGAAGTAAAAAAAAAAAAAAAAAAAAAAAACTTACCGGTATATATGTTTGTAAAGTATGCACACCCTGTTAAAACTGGAGATGAAGAAATTTTATTTATATAGCATATTTCATACACAGGGCAACTCAATGTGTTTCACACAACCAAAAACACAAGACATAAAAGCGTTTGTAAATAAAAAGAAAAAGACATTCAAAGGTAAAGCAAAGAAAACATAAGTAGCTTACTGAAAATTATTATTTACTTGAAAACATAGATTGAAAACCGTTAAACTTTTACAACCAAGTTTGGCAGACATTTAAAAACAAAGTAAAGAAATAAAAAGTGACGTTCTAAAATTACTGAGGGAAATTGATTTTAAATGCTTAAAAGAAATTATTCGCTTGGGGAAAAAAAGTGCAGCTTTGACCTGGATTCACCGGCAAAAGCATTTACACCTGAAGCTGACTTCTGTTGGTGGATTATGCAATTTGGGTGCAGCATAACA